AGGTTTCTCAAATGCAAACCAGTCGAAAATTTGACAATAAAATTCGATGGAGAACATGCTGTATCGGACGGTGCACAATCATGAAGACCATTCTTACCGTCAGTCAAAATTAGACTTTTATCTATTGACTATTTTCCTTGTTAGTTTTTTTCGTCCTATTATTTTACCCTCGCATTTTATTCATATATATTATTCCAGTTATTATTTATCTTTTCTGTTCTTTCGTTATTTTCTCTTTATTTTTTAAATATTTGATAATAAGTATCTTAATTCAAATTCATAAACTACAACTAACCTTATCTAAGCTCGAAGTAAAGAAGAAGATCGTAGTATTGCAACGAATCGTAACTTGTAAATCATTAACTAGATCTGGTTGCAAGACTAATTATACATATTAAAAGATAGAATATTTAAAACTATAGACGATATCCATAATTCGTATAGTTTCTCTAGGAGATCGCATACTTTCTGTTACCATTTAAGTAGTGGCGTATCCAAGGCCTGGCATGGCTTGACTCTGCCATACCCCCAGAATTTTTTGCCATACCACCGAGGAAAATTTCTTGTTAAATATATTAGTTTTTCGTTATATTGTTGTGGAAGTTGTATAAGACTAAATTTCCGATAATTAGTTATATCTTAAGAATAGTATAGACAACTTCATAGCTCAATAGAATCCACTACTATTGGATAATCAAAATCTTATTTTTTTCATTCACTTCGTATAAAAACCAAGTAAAGAAGCGAAAATAACGTTTCAGAAATAGTGTTTACACATCAAAATTCATAGTTTAAAGATGCACCAATCTTCAAAAGAATCAATAAGTGGTATAGTTCGGTCGTTTTTTAATTCATAGAATGTGAAGCATCGTGGGTGGACGTCTGCAATTCCGCGTAATACAACAGATTCTCTTTCACATGAAATATTGAATACAAGCTTAACCTCTACTAATGATAGAAAAAGTATAAAAAAATCTGAAAGACTAGAGACTGATTTTAAATCATCAGAAAATTATGAAGTGATATGGTTGGCTCAGCCGGTACCGATTGGAAAGACTGGGGTAGGAGATGATGCTTTCTGTTTTAAAAAAAATTTTGTTGCTTTTTATTAAAAAATCGAAAAAATGGATTTTAATGCTTCATTCAGGCGAAAAAGTGCTGCGTTCCACTAGGTTGGCTTTAAAAATTTTATAAGGCATTGTCATACCATCGCCCAAATCCTGGATACGCCACTACTGGTCACCTGAATTTACTGTAGTGATGCGTAATAATTTGTCGAAAAACATTTAATAAGCCAGAATTAATATTGGTAGATATCTAATGAAAATAGTTTTTGCTAAACAACTGGTGACCATTTTCAGATATTTTAGAATATAACTGGCCACCAGTTTATCATGGAGAAGTGAGGTCGATCATCGATTAAGAAAAAAATCCCTAAATCAGAATCCTTAGATGACTAGTGATCTTAACATTTTCTGATTTCTCATTAACAAATGTGAATTCGATTTACGTATGCATTCCGAGTACCAAAGTTTAGGGTAAACGATAACATACCGAATACACCTTTCCACATACTGATGAGTTCTGCAGTAAAAGCTTTTTTATAAACTTAATTTTTCAAAGTCATAGCGCTGAAACTTTGCATACTAATTCATCAGAGAGTAAATTAAGAGTTTTATAACAGGCTAACGATTTTTTTGAAAAAAAACTTGTTCAAAACGAGTTAGCAAAGAGTCATGTTCGTCTTTCTAACTGTCTTCGTTCACTGACCATTGGGTGTGAGACTTAATACTCACATAAACGTTTATAAATATTTTAACAGCTGCTTCTTCTTAAAAGAACTCTAGGTATAAGAATCTTCTTTCATTTTTAACTCTTCGAATAGTTACAAGTGTCCGTAAATATGTATTAACAGTAGAAAAAATAAATTTTTATTCACGAAAAATATACAAGTCTTTTATTTAATTTCAAAATATTTTTTTTCTTTTATCTTTTTTTGATACAAAAATCGGTTACAATGGTATCAACATCGATTTGATAATCTTTTTCTATTTTTATTAATGCTGTAGATGATAATCGTTCTTATCCAATTATAGTTCTAATATACGTTAATAAATTAAATTTAAATTAAAAATAAACTAAATTTTACGAAAAAAGAAATAATGAAAAACGAATGAAAAACTCAATATTATTGAGAACAAGCAGCAGAAAAAGATTAGTCATTATGCTCCACCAATTATTTACTATTTAATATAACTTCAGTTTATTCGATGAAAATAGATAAAGATTATTTAAGTATCAGTTAATCAATTTTGAAAAGACGAGACTTAATCGAAGGCTACATTTGTACTGTTAGTCGAACGTGAAATTTTGAATAGTTTCTGCTCTGAAAGGAGCGCGTCAAAAATTATTAAAAAAAAATGATTATGTATTATTTAAACGATTTTGTGTCAGATATGTGGGGTTTAAAATATATCCATCAAAATAACAGAATATAGATTCATAAGACAATATTGATCAACACTTGTATATTAACTACGAGATTGTATCAAATAAATGTTTACTGAATTAGACAGTCTTTACTCTAATCTACATAGAGAGCACAAAAAATTTGGGGATACAATAAACTTTTATTGCGTCCCCAAAAACATTTGGGGACGCAATTGCTGGCGCGCCGCCCATGACAACCAGATATGAATAATGTTAAGACTTTTAAAACTAGTTATAATATTAAAAGAGAGTCTTTGAGAATTGGTAATATATCAAAAACTAAAAGCAACAGATGTAATTCAATTTTTTTTCTTTCATATAAAGTTCATATTACTTTATTTATAGTAGTCAGAAATCGTGGCACTACCAGATGAAAACTATGTAAATTTTAATCATTTGACCTCATATTTTTACCGTGAATAGAACATAATGATACCGTTTCTAACGCCTTCTCTCTTGCTCAGAACAACAAAAAGTGGGAGAAGAGGAAGAGGAAAGGAAGAGAAGCAAAAAGTCAATTGATAGAAATGTGAATGAACACAAACAGCTAAACTTATGTCTGAAGTTTTCAAGTTAATCGCTAAAGACCAAGTTGAATTATTGACATTAGAATGTATACTCGTACTTAATGTTTAGTAAACATGCTCGGTATGATAGCCACATCTTCATTCATTCAAAGTCATTTTTTTACCAAATTCCTTTCATAAATAATTTCTTGGGTGTGTATGTGTGTGTGACATAGTCTTGTATTCATTCACACCCACACCCACACCCACACCCACACCCACACCCACACCCACAC